AGAGAAGAACAATTTCGCCGAGGTGTAGAGGCCTCCGAGCTGAGGTTTTCCTTCCAAAACGGCGTCGTGGCTCAAATCTGTTCCGGCCAATCCGAGGATGCCTGGGTGACCAACTTCAAGAAGGGAATTCTCTCCAGCTTCCAGAACAGCATGGATGACCTGACGAAGGCCCAGAATCTTACAGAGGTAATGTCACAGTCTTGATGCTTAGACACTCAAAACCTCGAAAAATAGCTAAAAACTAAACTTTAGTAATACCAGGCTTTAAAAGCCACCAATTTTAAACTTGGATGGAAATCAATGAAGCAATGCTTATGATTCCCGATTAAAAACACTAACTTACATGTGTGTTCAATTTGCAACTGCTCCTGCTTGTATGTTTTTAAAGTCATTCGTAACTAATAATTGTATCTGAATCGGCGCACTAATAACTTTAAGAAAAAACAATATAAATGTTTATGTGCTCAATGAAGAGGTAAAGTTTCAACCGAGATAATGCTTTAAGAGAGCCCCCCCCCCCTTTCCTTAAACATATGATGACTGATGCCCTACTACTAAATATTTTGCACTTCTCTATATCAGTCTCTTAAAATGAAATGCATTTTTTTCTTTTTGAATTCGGTTTATTATTGAACTTTACGATCTCCCCATTCCCTCCCCACAGACTGACGTTGCCGGCGAGTGCCGCACCGAGTACAAACTGGTCAGCGACGGCTACTACAGCATCAGTATCAAGAAGAGCAAGGACATTCTGAGCTGTACCAAACGTCACCAGTACAAGACCATGCTGCAGATGTCTCCTTACAATGTACCCTCTGTGAGTAAAATGTCAGACCTGCCTGGTATTTGGAGCTTGACACTCTGCTAGAACATTGTAGATCAATCATTTACAAAGTCTCTTATTTGTTATGTCCCCATCTGTAAGAACAACGTTAGATCTGTCAATGTTGGATACTTGACACCCAGACAGAACATTCTAGATCATTCTTGATTTTTTAAGTTTTAGTAAGAGTTTTACGGCACTTGCAACACAATAAGGTCATATAAGTGCCGTTCTTAAGGTATCAATATTCTCTGTCTGAATAAAGTGTCAGGCCCGCCTGTGTCAGGAGCGGGACATTCTGCTTGACCTTTGTAGATCAATCATTTATAAGGTATCATATGCCTCCACATGGAAGAACAACGTCAGATTTGTCTAAGTTTGGTACTTGACACCCAGCTAGAATATTACAGATCATTCATAAAGTATCAACTGCCCTCTCTTTGAACAAAATGTCAGACCTGCCTATATTTGGAGCTTGGCACTCAGTTAGAACACTGTAGATCATTATTCATAAGATATCAAATTTCAGATATCAAAGTCCCCTCTGTGAGTGCCACATTCGATTTATGTTTGAAACTTGACACTCTTTTGGCACAATGTATATATACTTATACTTCTCTATCCATTTGTATATTTAAAAAAGCTGTTCTAAGAGTTAAGCTTTTCTCCCTGTCTCCCTTTGTAATTTAGACACATTCAATCTCAGACCAGTGGGGGATTAGTGGGTGGCCTGATGTCGTCTGCATCTTATACTTTCCTAGTGTTGTCGTTACAATCATAATAGTGTTTCTGGTGAATTATGGTCGTTGCTATTTTGACTCATGGTAAGCCCTCACAACTCAACACCACTGTCCCACCACCACCTCACAACTCAACACCACAGTCCCACCTCACAACTCAACACTACTGTCCCACCACCACCTCACAACTCAACACCACTGTCCCACCACCTAACAACTCAACACCACAGTCCCACCACCACCTCACAACTCAACACCACTGTCCCACCACCTAACAACTCAACACCACAGTCCCACCACCACCTCACAACTCAACACCACTGTCCCACCAGCTAACAACTCAACATCACAGTCCCACCACCACCTCACAACTCAACACCACTGTCCCACCACCTAACAACTCAACACCACTGTCCCACCACCACCTCACAACTCAACACCACTGTCCCACCTCACAACTCAACACCACTGCCCCACCACCTCACAACTCAACACCACTGTCCCGCCTCCACAGGAGATTCAGTCCCTCCCGATCATGAAGACCACACACGAGTGTGAGCAGGACATCCAGAAGGCCGGAGTTCTCAAGTCCAGCACGTGCACTGAGACTCACGTCTACAGGCCCTTCGCCAACGGAAACAATGGAGGGATGACCGAGGTCAAGCAGACCTTGACCTTCAAAACGTCACAATCTGGCGTCAGATCTCGCCCAGGTAACGACAAACAAAAAAATGT